TTTTTACATTTTCTTGATGAATAGAGGGATTTGTTCTAATAGTGTTTGTAAATAGGATATCAGGTCTGCATCTTGTACAGCAAATAACCAATAGGAAGAATGTATGCAATGTGTTAATTATTGAAACTGTCCTACAGTTTGGTTTAAAAAAAAAAAAAAAAAAAAAGGGCAGGTCGTAAGTCTGAACAGTGCACCTTAGTTGTAAGTCTGAAAGTCATTTGACAGGTGGATTGTTAAATAAGGAATATCTGCAGCAGGACTTTTGATTTTTTGGTCAGGTAGTGAGGCAGGAGATTAGGGCATGGATGAGTAGCGGGACAAATAGCTGTGACCTGTCAGTTGCAGAGATCCAGAACACCTAAGCCTATGGTCTGCACCTAGCACCAACCAGAGAATGCTGTCTTCCGTTCTTCTGGTACAAAATCAAGCAGGTGTTTGATAGGACACCTAGATCTGACATCAGAATGGAGGGTGCAGAAGACAGTCACCATTAACCTTGTTGGGTACTTCTAGCTTTCTCCCACCCTGTAGAGTGTATTTCTTTTCCTATTTTAATTGGCTCACACTCACTCTGCAGAGCACACTTCTTTTCCCATTTAATACCTTCAACACATTCACAAAGGGACCATAATTTGTACATCTCACTGCTAGGTGGCTCTGAGCTACCTGTGGCTTGTGCATGACTGTCCCATTGGGTAGCATGGCACAGTCCTCTTGGGTGGTACAAGCTGCCCAATGGGACGGTCATGCATGTACATGAGGGTATTAATACATACAAAACCATGCCACCTTTTGCATTTGTTCTGACCAGTTATTTGTTCAGAATAACAAAACTTGGCTCTAGAAGGACCTCACAGCATCCCAGAATGCTGGAAACAGTAAGAAGCAGGGCATTGGCTGATGGGAAAGAAGCCAAGAAAAGGAGACTGAAAGTCACAGTAGTACAACCCTAGCAGGTAGGCCCTGGAGCCAGTGTCACTGGGTGTTTTGTCAGGCATGGTCTGTTGAAATACATAAATGCTGCTGGGGAGAAAGACTGAGGGAGGGAGCAGATTATTTTCTTTTTAATGAATATTCTTTAAAATCATCTTTTTGAGAGAGAGCAGGGCATAGGATCTGACTCTTGCCCACTTCTTGAATGATTCTCTCAGGGCTCAAATAATCCTCCTCTCTTAGCCTCCTGAGTAGCTGGGACAGAAGGTGTGGGCTGACACACTCATTGAGGTGGCAGATTCTTGATCAACTAGGAGGATACTGCTAATCCCTTAAGAAGTAATAACCCAGAAAAGTAGCTCCAATAGGCTTTGGGATACCACTCTCGCAACAGTAGGAAACATTAAACAAATTTTTTTTCACGTGTCTATAGTGATAGGAGTCAGAAGTTTACTGTATCAAGGGAGCAAGGAACAAAGAACAGAGCCTAAGGAAACTGGCCCCTGTAATTCCGGCCAGCTGGAGACAGATTCCTGGAGGCAGCGCCTGCCCTATCTGTTCTTTGTTCCTTTACCTGGGGGTTACCAACTAGTGACAGGTAAGCTAGCTGGTGAATGCTGAAAGGCAATATAGATAGCAGTTTGTTTACACCAAATTATTTATGCACATTCCTTAGCTTGTTTGTGGTCCTCAATAAATGTGAGACATTTCCCTAGCTCAGGGCTCACTGAGAGACTAATCTCAGTAAGACCCCTGTGGTGAATTTCACCCAGCCTTGCTGTCCTTTTTGGGACTTCGATCATTCCACAACACATGTCCTTGAAGAATGGCTTTCAGATGCTTTAGTTGTGATCCAAAACACAAAATATTTTTATATAGCTAGCTAGCATATATGTGTGTATCTATAACTGAAATACTGTGCATTCTAGTCTACCTGTCTTGCATTCTATTTTCTATTTAATTCTACTACCTGTCACTGTCCCTAGTCCAGTAAGTTAATTTTAAGACTGTTTATTGTAACTAACAGTTGGAAAACACTGGTTAGAGTATCTCACCATTGGACAATTCCTTCAGGAATGTGATGGTGTGTTTTGGTAACTGTTGGTCACTTTATGGTGCTATGAATATTATGACATGACTTTATAATAATAGAGTTATCATGAAACAACAGATACAGGTATGTTCATAGCCAGACTGTAAATACTAAAACTGTAAAAGCAGAAGTACGGTTCTGACAAAGGCCAGTGTAAAAGTAGTTGATTCTATGGTATTACAGGCAATCTGCCATGTCCTGATTTTCAGTCCTGGTCACACAGAGGCAGTATTTGGGAGGCTTTAAGCAATGCACAGACCATGTTCTGTTGAATCAAAAGGCCTTTTGGGGATAAGCCAAAGGTCCTTAAGTATTTTCAAAGTTAAGTGTTTGTAACTTACAGATATAGTTATGTATCCTGTGGAATGTAGTCAAGATGAAAAGTTTTTTTCAGTGGAAAGGAGAGAAAAAGGCTGCAGTGCAAAACTATTTCTAGGGGCCAGGGAGATAGCTCAGTAGAATAGGTGCTTGTCTTGCAAGTGCAGGGTCCCGAGTTCAAACCCCAGTCCCGGAAAAAAAAAAAACAAACAAAAAAAAAACTGTTTCTAGATGGCCTGTTTCCAAAATAGGTTTGAGGTTGCCAAATGTAGCAGCGGCAAGCCTGGGATCCCAGCACTTGGGAGGCTGAGGGAGGAGGACAGGCGTGAGTTCAAGGCTAGCCTGGGCTACATAGTGAGATCTTGTCTCAAAAGGTTTGAGGTTAAAAAGTATATTTCAGAGTATTTATCATGTCACGTAGTGTCCTGAACATTTTACATACATTAATTTCTTCACGGTACTATGAGATAGAAATATTATCATTGTTGTGGGTTCATAATCAATATAGGAATCCAAGTAGCCGATTAAAAACTTGAAGATGTTTTATTAGCTGAGCTCAGCGACTGTCTGCAGAGACCCCTGTTTCAGAGTCTAAGTGAGCAGTGCTGCCCAGAGGACATGAAGAGCATATAAAGAGAATATGCAATATATCCTGCTTGTCAAACTGTAAGGGTGGCCAAATAGCTCAGCGGATTAAAGCGCCTGCAAGCAGGCACAGGGGCTGGGGGTTCCATTCCTGGGCCTGCCATGCCAGTCTCGCCCCCCAGGGTGCACTGAGACAGCAATTGAGACTGGGTGTGGTGGCTCATGCCTGTAATCCCAGCTCTTGGGAGGTTGTAAACAGGCGGATCACTACGAGTCCGATCTAGTAGTGAGACCCTGAACACCCTGTAGACCCTCCCCTAAAAATAAAAGAAAAAACCAGAATAAAATGTATAGCATCCTGCTTGTCAAATAGATTAGCAGGCATCCTGCCTGTCACAGATATATTTTTCTTCCTATACATCTGGCTACTTTTTTTCCTGTTATTGTTTAGGGTCAGCACTTTTTCAGAGTGTATTTCTTCCATATGGTTACTTGTTTCACACATAGGCCAGTTTTTACAACTAAAAGTTAACAAAAGTTTATCATGGCAGTACTTATGCTAAGAGTCTGGGTTTAGGCCATCATAATTGTTTCCTAGAGGAAGAACTTGAGGCACAGACAGTTCAGTAACTTCTACAGTCACCTAGCTAGTGACTTGTGCCAGTAGGCATTCTTGTCCTAAGAGCTGTTCTTATATACAAGGAAAGACCTGTGCAGTAGGACTCTGAAAGCAGGAATAAGTATTAAGAGGTTGAATAGAACTGCTAAGGTAACTTATTAGATTTCTGGTCTGTTTAGTTTTCCCTTCTATTGCAAGTCTTAGCTTTGGGTTTCCTGGCAGCCAAGGGAGAGTCTTTGGCTCTTAATTGGCACGACCCATGTGGCTAAATGAGGAAAGCATATGCTGTTTCCTGTCCAGCAGGAGTGTGGGTTGCTGTGGATCCAACCTGTGCTGTGTAAGTGCTCCACTGGGAGTAAGCCTGAGCCACTGACCCATGAAGTCACTTTCTGACTTCTCGTGTTACCGCTTGCAGAGTCTGTGTCCTCTTGGGTGAATACTGGAGTGCTTCCAGAGGTGCAGTTTCTTTTATTGTTTCCAAGAGAGAGACCATTCGCATCAAAATCTTCTGGAGTGTATCTGTGTGGATAGCAGTGCTGTGTATGTAAGGTTGTTTAAAATGCAGATTTGTCCTGGTGTGGTAGTTCACGCCTATAATCACTTGAGAGGTAGAGGCAGGTCGATTGTTGTGAGTTTGAGACCAGCCTGGGCTACAGAGTGAGCTCTAGGCCAGCCTGAGCTGTATGTAGAGACCCTGTCTCAAAAAAGACAAAATAATAAAAAATAAAAATAAAATAAAAATAAAATGAAGATTTGGGGCCTACATCCCATATCTATTGCAGTGCAGTCTCTGGAGATAAATCTCAGGAATCTACGTGCTTTTCAGGCCTCAGAGTAATCTGACTTGCATTAAAATTTAAGAATCATGGGACAAAGTGACAGCTAAAGTTATTTTCAGGTCTGAGTTCTGTGTATCAAACTCAGCTTACGTAAGTAGCTGTAATTATTGAGCTCCTTGAGGGTGGAGCTCAATAATTATAAACTTAAATCTGTTCTTATTCACATAAGAAATGTTTCTTAAGCAAGCAGCTAGTATGTTAGGCATTGTACATGGTGCTGGGGATATAGACATGGATGAGACATAATTCTCTCTAGAAGGTTACAGTGAACAAAAAAATGGACTGATAACTAAATGATTTCGGCATAGAATAAATACAACTATAGGGCTATCCATTACCTTTTGCTTAGTTTAGGCAAGGAAAATTGCATAGAAAAGGTGTTGTGTTCCAAACTTCCAGTACAGCAGACCCTGTAGATAGGTGCTGCGTTGAACTACATGAGCCAGCATCTTAATCCCCTTGTGCTGTGCTAGTGCTCTAAGTAGCCCCGGATGTACATCAGCCCTTTATGTGTAAACTTGACTAGACTTTCTGTTTCTTAAAAACCACTGAGCTACATCATGGGTATAGTGTGTGCTTCATTATTGTTTGAAAATGTGTTTGTCTCATTCAGGTAACGTATATAACATACCGGTTCGTTTCTGGATTTTGGATTCTCATCCTTTTGCTCCCCCCATTTGCTTCTTGAAGCCAACTGCAAATATGGGAATCACAGTTGGAAAACATGTGGATGTTCATGGGAGAATATACTTGCCCTATCTTCAGAACTGGAGCCACGTAAGAGCAATTTGGATTTTTTTCCAAGAAGTTTTTACTTTTCTGAATAAATACTACTGCATTGTCTTCATGTGATCCTTCAAAGTAATTTGAAATGAAGCAGTCTAGGGTCACCCAGGTCCCAAAACACTGAAGACATCAGCCTGAAAAAGCTGTGGTCTCCAGGTTTGGAACCAGCTGTGGTTTTGCTCTTTTATAGCTGTTTGCCACTTGAGGAAGCACATGAAAAGCTACTCCGAGGACACTGGAGTATTATTTCTTAGTTCTTCCTTATTGAATCTTCATATATAAGCTGAGTGTGGTGACACACACCTGTAAGCCCAGCACCCAGGGCTGAGTAGGAAGACTGTTGTGAGGCCAGCCTGGCTATATAGGGAGTTAAAAAAGAAAAAAAAAAAAAGTAATTTACATATTTACATTTACTTATTTGTCATTTTGCCCATTTTCAACCTTTGTATAAGTTGAATCAGAGAGTATGTAATATTCTGTGATGCGGTTTGTTTTATAAGAACATTAATAGCTGGGGAGATAGCTCAGCAGCCTAACTGTCTGCCTGGCAAGCTCAAGGTCCCGAGTTTCATCTCTGGTACTACAAAATAAATAAATAAATAAATAAATATTAAAGATTTGTTGTTAGCAGTGATGCAGATCGAACTCCACTTCCTGCTCATGTTAGGCAAGCACTGTGTCACTGAGTTATACCCCTATCCTCTGCATGAAGTTGTTTTGTTTTATTTTTCAAGATAGGATGTTACTATATAGCCCATGCTGGCCTCTAATTCACAGCAATCTTCCTTCCTCAGCCTCCTGAGGGCTGAGGTTACAGGTGGTACGTGTCACCACTCTCAGCCTCAGCGTTAAATTTTTTTTTTTTTTTT